GAGGCCAAAGATCTGGTTTGTGTGGTTCCGGTACAGTTGCATTGGATTGACTGATCACTCCTCGCCCCCTTTTGAAAATAATTCTGTCATCGCAGAGAGAAAAAAAATCTTCTTCATCCTCCAACTCTCCCTCCTCTTCCTCCTCCTCCTCCTCTGCATTTGTCAACTGCTGGCCTCCTGACACAGCATTAAACCACCCACATGCGCTCACCATTCTCCATGAGAATAGCACTAATGCTACCACCCACAGTTCTCTCTGAAATACCCACTACAAATATGAAATGTGTGGTGTGAAGATTTTACTCATTATTTTAACAATGTTGTGTTAATATTGTAATCCTGCAGTTTGACTTCACTGTAGTGTTGTTGCTGTGTAACCAGGCTTGGCACAGATCAGATGCCTCTGCTGTAGAATTCATTTGAACGTCTTGAATTCATACCAGTGGGGTGACGTGTATTTGAAAATGCCTGAAGAACTGTGCTTGGCCTTGCAATAGGGATGTCAGATATCCACTTTATGGTGTAGCTTGATTTTTATAGAGCTATATGTTTGTCTAAAGTATAGGCAGGGCTTCAGGACAGTATTACAGCTGAGGCTAAGGTAAATATCATGTGTGATTGTAATGGCTTAAAAATGTCTTGATACAAGGGTAAGATTACAGTAGCGTGAGGGCTCTGGGATAGTGATGATTGTAATCTTGTCCATGGCCAATCTGTCAGCTCTGGTTCCTGGACTGATTGCTATATATATCTGTGTTTGTATGATTATTGTGGACTTAGGAAGGAGAGACCAGTCTGTGTTTGATATTCCTCTGTAGCAAGACTAGAGGTGACTCCATCCGCTTGGCACCTGAGGATATTTCCCCGCAGCTGCCTGTTGGCATGCTCACCGGTATCAAAAATGCGTGTTTACCTCTGTTGTCCTAAGTTGCTAAGGAAAGATTTATTGCATAATTGCTGTTATCAGGAATGAGCAGAGGATGTTGGACCCTGAAAAGTTCTGATCCTAGGCCATATCCATGAGTCAGGATGAAGCGATGCCAGTTCATCAGCTTTCCCTTTTGGCTTCAGTGTCTTTAATGACCTGGATGCAGGGTGAAGAGCTCGGAAACTTGGTGCTTCAGAATCTTGCTGTTACATGCCTCAAGAAAAGTTATGTAAGTTAACGAGCGAAGCCGTGGCATTCGAATTTGTCACCACACAAGATGGCAGACAAACCGGCACCTTACTACAAAAACCAGATGTTTCTGATCGATGTACAGGTGCTCTTACCAAGCCAGGCTATTGAGAAATGTTCTCATTCTTCTCATCTTCTTCATACTGATAGAAAACAAATGAGCAATTGGATGTCTTGAAAAGATATTGCAATATTTCACTCCATCACATTATTAAATACCATTTCATTCCCTCATGCTCTTATTAAAGTCACTTTAACTGCACGTTTGCTTTCAATGACTAGAAATTAGTCTAAAAAACCCCAAAAACTTTGGCAAAGGAAGAGAATTTGCCTCACGACCAAATATAAAAATGTAGAGCACCAGCCAGCTGCCAAAAGAAGCAAATATTTCTCCTGCTGTGTCATGAGGGAGAATGGGATGTTTTGCTAAGCTGCAGAATCCAAGAGTAAAGGAAGCCAAGGTTGCAAAGGCATACATACATGCATGGAGCTTACTAATTACTGTTTTCTAAACATAGAGCTGTTCCCAATGAACACTTTTGTAATGCTAAACAACATCTGGGATCACAAGTGGGATGTCCATACATGAAACTTGAGGAGAACCATTAATTTTAAAAGTATCCAAGCATGATTTTGTGAATGGTCTTCATCAGCTTGAGTAGTTCCTGTTCTCCCTGAAACTGTCTTGTGATATTAATGCTTTTCTTAAGGTTTGACAGGTATACAATAGAGTACAAAAAATACTGCAGGAGATCAATGTTTAATTAATCAATAAATACCCATATATGCACCTAATGCAGTGTTAAACAATATTTGAATTTAATGTTTGCCACAACCGCATGTATTCTTGTTAAGAGAATATTCAGCTGATTGACGGCTAAACTTTCTCATGAGTCATATCCGCTGCTTTCATATTTTCACACATACAGCTAAATAAATATTGTTGCTGATATAAAATACCCTCCTGCACCTCCAGTCATCACAGACTAGTATAGAGAAACCAAATCTCTGTCTGATTTGTCCAGTCTCCCCTTCTGTTCAATGACTTCCATCGAGACAGCATTCATACTATTGTCTGAACAACTTCAGAGACAACAATAAGTTTATGCTGGCTTCATAATTTCCATGCTCTGATCACAAAAGGACACTTGTTTGTGCCTCTTGTCTCTCTGTCGTTTCCTTGTTGAGGGTTCAGGGGAGGAGTGGCTCTGTGTACTGTGGAGGCTGACAATCCCACATTGTGTGAACTGGTGCTGCTTCACAAAGGGCCCATTGTGGAGGGTGGTGGCCCAGGGAGAGGGGACTGGGTCTAGGCTAGGTGACAGAGAGGTGTGCGTTCGGAGGCCCTGGGTCTGGGGGCTTGAGCTGCTGTGGCTGGCCCAAAGTAGGGGCGTGTATGGGTGCTCAGCTGACACAGTACCAGGGCAGGGATGGTGCACACGTGTGACAGGAGTCCCGTGAGCAAAACATATAGTCTGTTCCCACACAGCCATCACCCACTTCACATAAGCACTCAAATCTCTCTCAGAGGTGAGCAGCGTTATGAAAATAGCTTTTTAATCAGAGCTGTTGTCAGTCTCCGATTTATTTTCTGCGTCCCAGAGAATCCGATGTTGTGATTATAAAACGAGGGGCTTAAGCTGCTTGTACAACTGTTCCCAGAATTTGAAATATTTTGCCGTTTATCCTCTTCTGACTCCAGCTCAAGGACACATGTGTGGTGTACTCTGGATTTGTTTACACAGACAGATAGCTGTACAGTCCAAAGGGCCCCCCTTGTTTTTTTCCGTGACACTGTTGTCCCCCTTGACATCCAGCCTGAGACTTAATCCTGCTCTCACCAAACCACCTTCATTTCTCCATGTCTGAGAGTGACAGGGCTCTCAGGTCAAGCTGACACCAGTCTGAAGCAGGCCCTCATCCAGCTGTCCCAATGTCTTATTTGTCCTTCTTTATGTCAAGCCCGGCTGTTGCCCTAGCCTCTCACCTCTGTGTCAAGAGCCCTTCGGCGATGGACCATTTTAAAGCCACCGGCATAAGAAGTTGAACCAAAACAAATTTGCAGACCGAGTCATTGTGTCTGTGGCACTTAGGCTTTACCAGAGTACAAGAGAAGTTGGAAAGGTCGTACCACGCTGCCTCGATGATCAGGTCTCTAATTATTTCTCTGACTCATGGTGTACTTAGATCAAACCTACTATCCAATTTGCTGTGCCAAAGTTTGACACTGCCACCCTTTCACAATATACACAGTGGTAACAGAGCTGCGAATGAACGTGACATTCAACAGTGACCAAGTAAACAAGGCCTCTCATCTGCCCTCAGGGTGGGATTACCACAGCCTGTTAACTATTGACTTCTCTGTCCACATTAGAGGCTTAAATTGCTCTGTTACTGACAGGCTATAGTTACATTTGTACAAATTAGGTCCTTGACTTAAATGTATTTGGTCCCTAGCTAAGTTGAATGTGAAACCTTTTAATTTTGTTTCCAGCTCTATCTCCTGATATATTCCGATTCATTCAAGAGCTGTAATTTATCATCTGTGGCTAACTGGTACTTATAGCTTGGAATCACTGTGGTTTTTTGGTGTCTATAATTCCGCCCGTATGTTTAGTGCAGAGAATGTTCAACCCATAGGTTTGTTCTAAAGCTTCCTATGCCCAGCGTGCTAAGTAACTTGGTACTCATTCACCTGAACACATTCAAGTCCTTCAGTCAACATGAGGTTATCAAGGCTTCTTGAATTCAGGTTAAGTCATGTAGAGGTCAGGCCAAGCAAAAGTTTCAGAGCTTGTAATATTTATTATGGTTATCTGTGTGCACGTTTTTACCGTGTGCGTTACCGATTGATGCAGTCAAATTACATAATCTTACAAAAACTAGCACAACAGGTTCAGATGGAGCGACGTTGTCTCCATTCATTGTAAATAAGCCATGCACACATACAAAGCCCCTGTGTGCTTACACAAACCTGCACATATAAACCTTATCACTGTGCACAAAGTAGTATTATTGTGGAGGTCCTGCGGTAATGTTATTTATGGCTGACAGATGGCATTCATTTCATTGTGTGTCGTTGATCTTACACCTCACAGCCAGGCATCAGACAGATTAAACTCAAAACCACACTGTGAACCCATGAACTTGCATGGTTTATAAATGGTGCAGACAGTCTTTCTCATAGGTCCTTTCAGGCACTTTCTCGTGGTACAGTGGACAACATGGCCTGAAAAACCAGCATTATGATGTGCACAGGCTATGTATCATCACCAATTTTGAAGTAAAACAGTCAAGTTTATTTGGTGTGATTTTGTTTTTAAATGCAATGGTAGATACCACAATTTTAACTTTAAATTAGACAATTTCTTCCACAGCTACAAAAAAGCACATCATCATTATATTGTTGATTATCCACTTTAGTTTGGATTTAGTGGCAACCCTTGTCTTGCTGAGCCCACCCGAATAGCGAGCAACCACCTAGTTTCACTGTCCTATAATCACCCTAATTATTACAAGAGGGATTTTTTCCCTTAAAAATAGAGCTATTGAAGCAAAAGCCGATTCAATTAAGTAATTATTCTCTTATAAATGCTGCAATATGCATCTAAAGAAACCAAAATATCACAGTGAGCTCTAACAAGAACATTTGCCTGTTCCCAGACTGTTATATCAGCGTGTGGTGTGCCAAGCTTGGCATGAAAATTGATGCTGGGGTGGATTGTGTGAGAAGACAGGAAGACCATGTGGAGGGATAAGTGGGCATGTCTGCTTACTTCCCCCGCTTTAACACTTTCTCCACGTGTCTGTGTTATGTCCCCAGCCCAGCACTCTACCCCAGGGTACAATCAATATGAACCAGTGCTGTGACGTCATCAATGGTGAGACGAGGACGGGCCAGAAGAACTCGCTGTGCATCCTGACCTCTGAGAAAGAGCACTTCATACGTGCGGAATGTAAAGAGATCATCAATGGGTAAGACGTTACAACCAGGAATGGGATCTATTCATGTAGGACTATGATATCTTGACATGTAGGGTTTAACTGTGGCTTCAGATGTGCAGTATGGTTTGTGTTGCTCTCTCTGTTTATCTGAGTGGATAGGGATGACAGAGACTTGGATGAGGGAGAGTGGTTGTGTGCAACTGCTGCTGCAGCCAAACCCGCTCTGCCCCCTGCTGTCTCCTCTGAGCTCTGCTCTCCAGAGAGTGGCAAACCACTCTGCAGTGACAGTGCACATTCTTGAACTGCGTTGACAAATCCCCATATTCCTGAACACAGATCGCAATATACTTCCTGCAAGCCTCAATAATATAGTTTCCCCCTGTACCTTCAGCTCCCCTACTGCACATATAAAGTGTGTTCCAGCACCACTCTCCATCCCTGGATGTAACATACGTATTATTATGGCTATTCTTAGGGAGCTGTGACGCACAACACCCCCTCTCTCCGTTATGCTATCTGCTCACTGTACACCTCCCACTCACCTGTCATCTTGCCCCCAATGCGTTTGTTCCTGGCCATCACACAGTCATATTAGTCACTGCAAGGCTGTCATTAACAGACAACGAGGATGCTTTTAAACATAAATGTATTATTTTGCATGTTTTTACTGGTTCTGTTAAGCTCCTTGTGATTCTACAGAGTGAAAACCGTGCTGTGTGGGCGCTCAGTTCATTTACAGCTGTTTCAAGTGTGTCTCTTCAGAAAGTGTTTGAAATAAAAATATTTGATAATACATGAGTCACTGACTTTATTATTGTAACCTTCTTTATTTGAAGTTACATTAGGATGGGTGTTAAATTTGACATTTATTTAATAGTACTTGGGAGTTTTATTTATATTTCGTCAACATATGATTTTTGATTAATTATACATGTCCACATTTCAGTAGTTTTACATCATGCACAAACATGCTAGTCATGGCTACTATACTGTAATTTGTTATTTTTGTTGATGAGAACTTTGGCCTGCGCATATGTTGATCTACAGTGTATGCAGGGTTTGTACCTTCTGCATTGACTGGTCCAAGAACAGCATTTTGACTGTTTCACTATTCGTAGGTGGCAGGAAGCTCTGACTGTGTACCCCAGGACCAACAAGCAGAACCAGAAGAAGAAACGAAAGGTCGATCCCCCCACTCACCAGGTAACACACTTCTTCCCACTATCCACAGTGAAGGTTTTATTTGATTGCTCCACCTGAACAAGGCAAAACGAAGATGTATCCGAAACCTAACCTATAATAGGCCATCTTTGGCTCCTGTGATGATTTAACGGTCACACATTGAGGCACTATCAACACATTTTAAAATAAGGTTATAAACGAACCACATGTGACAAATGGGCTGCTGCTGCAACAAAGAAAGAGGATATACATACAGTATATTTAAGGACGACTCGTGTCATGGAAGTATGCTGTATGCAGGCTTTTCATTTCAGTCACACTGCACCAGCTGTGTCCCCCCTTACCCCTCAGAGATGACATATTGTTTCTCTGCTAGTAACATTCTCAACAGATTATGCAATCCATATTTCTATTCTTGAGTCACAGGATGTTGTTGTCTTGATAGATGAATGTACTACATGCCTCATGCTTGTCTAAATTAATCACAGGGTTCATTGATATACAGAAGCAAAACTATAAAAATTTGTGGTAACATTTGATTGGATTGGATCATTGGTGTTGTGAAGTGCATGTTTACATTTTCTGGTTAAATAGAAGCACTTTTAATATTCAAATTACCAATTGCTTAGTAGGCAGCAAAGATTATTGAGCTATCCAGATATCCCTGAATAACAACCGAGGCTAATGATGACAGCTGCCTGCTAAAATAATGTCACTATGATCCTGTCACTTCTGAATATGCTGGTGCGCTCTGTTTCATTGTCAGCTGCTGTCACACTTTCCAGGCCTTTGTTACCAAGTTCTGCCTGGATGGTGATTAACCTGCTGGGTCTGTTAAGAACGGCCCTACATTACTGCTATTAACCCTCAAACTGAAATATTACAGATTTCACTTAATGTCACCTATGTGCCCCCATGAGTGTGCAGGTTCAGAAGCACGCAGCAGCTCAAAATTCTTTGTGAGGAATGGGGTAATACTTCATATGACCTGGAGCAGACACATTTCAGTGTTTCTTACAGATTCTGTGGAAGTAGGTGAGAGGGAATGTATTTCGCGCCAATGCATAACATGGCTTGAGCAATTGATAACACTACTGTCTCCGTTTTGACGGCCCTTTGAAGCAGCAGGATTTCTCCCAGGAGCTGTATATTCAAAGGGGATGAAGAAAGACGGAGGCGGGAGGGAGAAAGTGAGGCAAAGAGTACTACACAAAGTTCTATTATGAAATATCAGAGCAAAACACACATGTATAGACTGTAAATGTCAATATGAGTGTGTAAAAAAGACTTTGATTCATTATGAAACTGTGGCAGGAAACATTTGACTATGGTGGGCCTTCACAGTCTAGGTAATTAAAGAGTCAACATTGCATTTCTACTGTAAAATTGTGAATAAATATTGACAATACCATCATAGAAGAGTTTCCTTTTAAATTTCTGAGCTGGTGCCTGTTTTTGATATTACAGTTCTGTCAAAATGACAAAGAATGTCCGTGTGGGATCCTACAACTTTTTCCAATTTCACAGCGCAGTGGCCTGAGCCCTAGTTCACTGAACAAGATCCATGTTTGAGTCTGTGAGTCTGTAAAGCCGTACTTTGGGACTTGGCCAGTGAATCCCCAGAAGTGCTGTTACCTGACCTTGCATATCAACTACTGTATAGAGGAGGCCAGCCGGGGAGCACATTCCTTTGTAGAGCAATTCAGAATAAGAATAAATTCATAAATATTTTAGAATGTAAATTAAATTATAGAAAATACACACTACTAAAAAATAAAGTCAGCCGTCTGAGAGCAAGGTGAGAAACACATTGTTACCATGGAGAATACAAATACATGTTTCATTTCCATGTAAGTTCACATTCGCTGCACTCACGAGTTCTCCCTGGTAGGTAAACATAAGAGAAACAGGACTATGTACAGCTTTCTTATATCATATATTGGAATGATATTCAGACCACCCACTGTGTGGTTCAGTTTTACCCTATACTTCCTTTTTGATGAGAAAAAAAAAAAAAATCTCTCTGAAGTTCATTGTCTGGTTGCTCTAATGATTGTGCCCTGAATCAGACTGTGACCTCTGCTGAGCTGGTGTGCAGGGGACCAGTGTTGACACAGTGATAACCTTAACTGCTTCACCACTGTCAACCACAGATGGCAGAAAATTATGATTATATTTCACTCCAATAAATTACTGATAATCTGCTTTACACAATATGAGGGGAGAGTCTAGTCACTGCAGTGCAGGAATTCATCTTCTATCAACTAGTCAAGGCCAATGCTGCTTTTTCACATTAACTCTAGAAAAATTTGGAAAGTAGACATTTTCTCAGTTGGCCTGTCACATGGGAAGAATGCAGCAGGAGGTAGTCTAGGTAGAGCATCCAGGAGGCAGGACATAACGTGTAAACTCTGCAGCACAAATCACATGTTTTTATTCACAGCACATTAACACTATGTTTCCACCTTTATGGCTCATCTTTTTCATAGAGATATTTGTATTCTTTTGGGGGTTTTTTGTTTTGTGTCCATCGCTTGTCAACATGCTCGCTGACTGTAAAATATCCAGACTGCACATGGCCTCACATTTTCCGGGCTCCTTTTACTTTAAATGTCCGGAGCAACTGACTCTGACTTTTGCATTAACACATACAGCTCCTTAGGAACATTTCAGAAGAAATGTCTGCAGTTCAGAGCCTGTCTGAAAGCTGCTTTTGTCGTTTGGGCTGTTTGTTTGTTTTGGCATAAAGAATATGCTAAAGATTATCTCAGGTATATGAGTGATGACTAAAGCTCTCCTACTTTTACCTTAGACATGTGCTCAGAGATGTTTGTCAGCATAGTAACATGTTTGCCTTCTGGGTGGTGCCACTTAATTGAAGCACCTGACGTGGAGCACATAAAGAATTACGTGACAGGAAAACGATGATAACATGTTGTGTATTGTACTGTATACGTAAGGAGGCTGGAAGGACTTTGCACTTTCAGATTCTTGTCTTGGCTCTGAGGCAACAGAACTTAACGTCTTGTAAAAGTGCTTTATATCATACATTTGCTTTAATTTGACCTTCAAATAATACAGAAACTATGAATTTGACGGGACAGATTTTTGGGTCTACCTCTATTGATGATAATCTGCACTACAGAGTAAGCTTTAACATTAAAAGCTTTTTGTAATTGGCAGGGTGGAGTAACTCCAAGCCAGTGTTTTTCCACTGAAGACATGAATGGACACCCAGTGAGTTCAGCTCGGCCAAACCTTTTTATCCTGCTTTACCCTCAGTAGCTTGAAATCACAGCCCTCATAAACCGTATTTTTTATAACCCCCCCCCAATCATTCCAGGTGAAGGGTGAATAAAAAATGACTCTCCTTCTTCTTCTATCTGATTCTGAAAGAGTGATTCTTAGCATGTTTGTGGTGATTGAAAAAGGCTGGTTGAAGAGTTGTGCGAGGGTCGCTTTGAGGGACTCAACTCTTGATATCAAACTGTGATTACGTCAGCTCCAAGTGTTTAATTTTGTTTGTACTTTGCATTCATAAATCATGTCTTAGCAACTCTGTTCCACTATATTCCAGCTCTGGAAAAATTGCCCCTGTTGTGTGTTTTTTGTCCTCATTACACGTGTGTTTGTCTTGAATGAACTCTTTGTTCTTTGTCTACCAATCACTTTCTCTTTCCCAGGCATCCTCCTTCTCTCTTTTACATTGATGAAAGTGATTTTCTTTTGCCCCGTCACTGTTGTATTAGATTTACTTGACACACGCAAATACAATCCAACCAGCACAGAAAAGCAAACACATCAACAGACTAATGGTTTAAGATATTGCTCCAAACAAGAAAAATCAGTGTGCTGAGAATTTCAAAGAGAGATAGCAACTAATAGGTGAGATAACCTGTTATAATGATTCAGTGGTTGTGTGACTGGCACATGATTTCACAGTACTGCAGCTGAGTGTAGGTCTTGACTAAAGCACATGTACATAAAGACGTTAGAATTAGGTGAACTTAATAATTAGAAACGTACTATTCAGTGTTTAAATATTCTTCGATCTCTTTCCTTCTCATTTTCCTTTTTGTAGTCTCTGTGTGACCTTACCTCCCATTGTTCCCTCTCCTCCTCCTATCCACTCCTCCCAACCCGAACTCCTACCCAGGAGCCTGGCCCGGCCAAGGTGACAGTGACCAGCAGCAGCAGCAGCGGGGGCAGCATCTCGTGCCTGCCCAGCAGCATTGCCAGTGCTGAGCGCGTCCCAATGAGCCGTGCAACACTGTGGCAGGAGGACAGTCGCTGGAGCCGGGCCACCATCCCCTGCAGCCGCAGTGCCTCCTGTCTCAGCCAGCTGAGCCAGAGCCAACGAGACTCCAGTATCACCACTCAAGATGGTGAGGACATACAAGAGAGCATATGAATTCTTTAACATCCCATATATGTGCTTGTTTTGGTTGTTTCATATCAGTCGCACTATGTTTTTGTTTCAGATGGTGGCACCGTGAGCACTGGACGCAAAGTACGTGTGGAGAGCGGCTACTTTTCCTTGGAAAAGACCAAGTCGGAGCCTTCTCCACATTCTGCGCAGCACTCCCAGTCCCCACATCCACCTCAGCACCTGCCCCTGTCCTCTTCGGCATCATCCTCCTCTTTAGGAGCTCCCTGTCCCAGGTACAACTCTGAGTCAGAACCTCAATCTTCCCCCTGTCAACCCTCCCAAGACCCCCTCCCTTCTCCAGGTGCACTTGTCTCCCCCAGCTACTCCACCATCAGTTCCTCCCAGAGCTCGCTGGACTCAGATCCCAGCGTCACGTCGCCGACCTGGGAGGGATGCGGTGGTGGTGTAGGGAGCACTAGTAACGTTGGTAACGGAGGAGGCAGAGTGGGCTGCTCTGGCAGGGAGTATACAGCGTTGTCGGATGTGCCACGGGCTCGCAGACTGAGCTACCGGGAAGCGTTCCGCTCAGAGAAAAAGCGTCAAGAGCTGAGGGCACGGACAAGGAGTCCTGGTAGAGAGGAGGTGGCCCGGCTGTTCGGGGAGGAGCGCAGGTGAGGGGTTATGGATAAGTGTCATGCTCGGCACACTATAAAATAATGCTAGACGAAGTCCCTGAACTTGATGATGAAAGCAAACATGATTAATAATCATTAATGGAGCTAATGCATTGCTTAAAACATGCATCACAGTAGTCACCCTGTGGCTGCTGCTGTCTTTGAGCCATATCTTGAGCATCTTTTAGTATTGCTGTCCACCCTGGCCTCACAGTGGTTTGCCATTAATGATTTTGGGGATTTAAATGCATGTGATTCTTTCTTTTCTATTGGTCTCTACCTTTTGCTCTCGCTACTTTTGCTAGTTTGTTTTTGTTTTTCAATCTTTTCCAGGGGCTCCTGAACAGACCTTTCAGAGCTAATGCTCAACCAACCCCTCCATCCCTGTCCCAATGCTGTTCCCTGCTGGTCACCGCTGATTCCTGCTTTCTATCATTTCATCTTTGCCTGGAAGCACACACACCCGTACACTCTCCCACATAAATACCTGAGTTTCCATATATACTGTGTACACTTGAAACACCACATCAATGGTTTGTACTGGTTGGTTATACATACAGTTTCTTCTTTCTTGGTCTGACTTCACAAACACATTAACAAGTGCAGTGCCTTAAGGTAATGCAGACTGTGTTTCCATTGCTGCTACTTCTGCAGTTTGTTTTAATCAACCATAATATTTTCCTTATCTCTCTCATTGCATATCACTAATTCTTTGGTGTATCTCTGGATTGTTCTCTTTGGGGATATACGTCTGCCTCATGTTGCACATTGTTGACTGCAAAAGGGACTTTGAGTCGAATGATGTCAAACTTTCTACATGTGAATACAACATTACGCTCTGCACACAATAAACTGAACCTACTTGTTTTATGACATTGATTTTGACTCAAAGTTGCCTTCATATTATGCTTTGGTTTTGTTTTTAATTCTGATTCTGGCATCATTTTGTATCATTATGTTTCTTATGAATAACCAGTTTATCTTATGATTCAGATTTAGTGTTTTGTTTGCTCAGTATTTTTCTCATTGTCAGACCTTTATGTTGAGTGTGACAAGCTGTGTCTAGAGAACGACTTTGAAAAGAAAACCTTTGTGTCTCTTAGGCGTCCACAAATCATCGGGCGGTTTGAGGAGGGTCAGCATGTTGAGCATATGGACACGAGCAGCTCCAGTGAGCCCTCCTCTAACACCGCGCTAATCCAGAGACAAGGTCGCAGCGAGAGACGCTGTCTGGCTAACAAACATGTATGCTATTATCCTCATTCACTTAAATTACACATTCAGAAAAGGTGTATAGGATTTACTGAATTGAATATGTATTTTATAATGAGTTAAATATGCTTGCCATGCTTGATATTGTTGATAATATTGGAGTTAATTCCAATTTCTTATTTTAAATTTTTAGGAGATTTCCCTGGATGCAGGCAAAGACCGTTCAGCTCCCAGTTTGACCAGCCCCACTTTTTCCAACTTCAGAAGAGCGAAGTCACTGGACCGCAGAGTCACAGAGTCTTCAATGACTGTGAGTACTAATATAAAGTATACAGAGCTCATAAACAGTGCAAAATCACTTTTAGATCCCATTAAATGGTTTTGGTGGATTAGGATTGAGATTTAATTTGCAGAAAAAGGGATGTGATCCCTCACTGCTTGTCCACCGTATGAAAACTGTTAGCTGCGTTCAATAGTATGTTAAGCCAATTCTGAAACACTGTAGCAGAGACTGATTAGGCTGCATGTGGAGTATAAATGCGTTTATGACATACATATATCAAAGCTGGTGCCAGAGACACAGCAATAAAACCCAAATATAGAGTAAATAAGGTAAAATCACAACAGACATAATCAAAATAAAACTAACTCTTGGACAGAATGTGGCAGATTATGACAAAATTTGGTATATAACAAAAGATAGTGATTAAGAACCTCCAACTACTAAAATGATTTTTTCATTTCATGTTGTCATTGAAAAGTAAAAAAAACCTGGGAGGGAGATTTTTGTAGTGGAGAATGTGATATTACTGATATGTCAGAATGATTAACAACAAGAACATATGTGTTTTGTATTCATTGTTATATTATTTGGAACAGGACTATGATTTAACTTCATATAATCACCACATCAAACACCACTGTGACACACGCACACACACACACGCACACACGCACACACGCACACACACACACACACACACACACGTTTTTACAAATAGCAATGCCGCCTGGTTGCTGAAGGTATCTTCCTGAGGTCTGACTCCTTCCAGTCTGACAAACTGCTACTGATCTGATGTCTGTTCAGAGGGCACTGCGGGGGTGATCCAGTCAGCGTGTGGTTGGTCTCGCTGTCCAAGCTGCAGCTGCCTGAACCCCCACCCACACACACACACGCAATCACATMCATGTACACACCACTGCCGTCACTGCTTCTGCTGATTATAAATAGCCTGCACAGAAGCAGTCTCAGTCGTGTGTATGTTTGTGGGACAGACGGAAAGTAACAGATTGTCAACATATGAAGTGAGGGCAGTTAGCCATCAGAATGACTCTCTGCCAGACGGTCACACCACACCTGATGAAGTTCAACAAAAAAAAGGTATTGTTGAGTGAGCAGGAGGCAGGTTTGGGACGAATGGTTTACTTTAGAATCTATAAACAGACCTGAGCTTGGTTTCAATGTGCAGCAGTTTGTGTTTCACAGGGAAAGTCCAGCACCCGCCAGTCGGTCTCTTAAGCTGGAGCCACGTATCAGTACATGCACTTCTTAAGCTGCGCTGGTGTAAACAAATGCACATAATTGCATCAGTGATGAATAGTCACTTTATGATGACTTGTAATGGAGGGAAAACACTTTTATTAAGACATTTAATCCTGCTTGTCTGTCCTGATTTTCTTTTTATTTATGTGCTGACAATTAAAAGGTACAACTGGTAGCTCAATTTCCCATTAATGGTTTTTAATTTTAAATAGTCTAGTTGATGTATTTAATATTACATCACTCTGGTTTGTCTCTTTTGCAGCCAGATCTGCTGAACTTCAAAAAAGGATGGATGACGAAGCTGTATGAAGATGGAATGGTAATTAGTTTTCATTAGCAGAATTAAATGATTATCTGCTTCTCTCTCCTGCTGAAATAATGTCTCATGATACACAGAGAGTATTTTTGGAATCCAATTATTTTTTTGTTTTCATTCAGTGGAAGAAACACTGGTTTGTCCTAACAGACCAGAGTCTGAGGTACTACAAAGACTCGATAGCTGAGGAGGTAGGACTCTACAAAGCCACTGTGAAGCTGTTTGATTGTATGTGAATTCATGGGATATTAATGTTTTATTTCGATGATGATGTTTTTTTTCCATAGGCTTCTCAACTGGATGGTGAGATCGACCTTTCAACATGTTACGATGTCAAAGAGTTCCCGGTCCAGAGAAACTACGGCTTCCAAATCCAAGTGAGTGTTGATTCTTCGTGTCTTCGCGTCATTAATCAACAGTGAAGATGAAGCCCATTGTCTGCACTGTTTCAGTCTGCTGTCCCCTGCTAGGCTATAAACAGCCTTAGTGCATGCCGTTGAACTTTAGGTATCAGGTTTGATCATTTCTCATTTTGAAACGATTCTTTGTCTCCGACGAAGGATGTCACTTGACTTGTCATCTCTTCATGCAAGACTGACATCATAGTGGTCTAAATCTGCTCCAGCCGTTGCTAGCGCCGGGTGTCTCTCTGACCTCGTGTGCCCCTCATCCTTCACAATATGTTTGCCTAACCCCCTGCATTTAAAGGCCCTGTCCTTGTCCACATTTGCTCAGTAACACAGTGTTACACCGAGCCCTAATTTTCGCAATAACCTTGCAGTTATATTGATCCTGCTGTGAACCTGATGGTCTTTCTTCATATAATCCTTTGGCTATTAAACATTTTTATCACTTGTTCCTTGCAAAACACTGTACATATATAGTGGCTGGCAATCCATGCATTATTCATTTGATGTCAGCGGGGGTTTGTTCCTGCTACATATAGATTTGTTTATGTCGCAGGACCTACTCAAATACTAATCCTATGTGAGGAGAAGAGGAGCTACAAGGTCATTTCTTTTGTTTACATTTGCCCGAAGCAGCTTCCACAGCTCTTTTCTGGAGGAAGTCAGAAATAGAGTAGTCGAGGGGATCGTTGTCTCTTTGGCTGAGAACAACATGGGTTTGATGTCGAGAAATTAATAACTCCAGTATTTATATCTGCTCTCCCCTTGGTCAGACTGGATAGTGCTGTTGTTCTCTCAGTGGCTTAGCTTCAGTGTAGAGTTGAACACAAGTTTTAATCCTGATGCCAGATGAGGTACCTTGTCTCAAACCTGATCACTGTGCTCAGAGGCTTTTATGGATTAACTGATCTTGCAGAAATCACACAAGTGCCACTAGAGGTCACTGTATATAAGGTTAAATGTATTTCACACAGTGAAGCTGGGTTGGCCAAAGAGTGCAGGATACCTCAGTGTAAATGCAGCTATCCACTTTGCAGCAGCAGCATCTGCAGCCGGAACTAGTTATTCTTTTGTGGGTCATGTACGGAACACAATGCCTATTAATTGCTTCAACATATCTTAGACTGCATAGTCCCTCTCACTGAACTGAAACACAACTGAACAGTGGATATTCATTGCGATGAATGCTTGTTTTTATTGGCTTTAATGTCTATAATTTGCCATAACCTAATTTTAGCAATTTAAGATGATTAACATCTTTCAGTTAAGTACCAAAATATCACAGGAGATCATACCTGCTCACCAAAGTTGCAGAGCATGAGTAGACTTTCAGGGTGAAAAGTGGGAATGAAAGAGGCACCATTCTCCCTATTACAAGTCAGTGTACCATCAAAACAAACATGATGCTGCTATTTTAAGGTGAAACTGTTGCACAATTTTGCTTTAAGTCTATATCTCTGTATAAGTATATCAATGCATATCTCATCTGCCTGAATTCCTTTTTTAAAGTCAGATCAAAGTTGTACATAACAATGAAAATATATTAGTGAAAGTGTTTTATTCTGACATTTATTGAGTAAAATAAAAACATTTGAGTTTACATGGCAGTCCATTTAAAAGACCCCTTTTGGACAGTTAAGTCCTGGAGCAGTTCACAGAGTATTATACTCATTTGATTTGACATCCTCTTTTACGTGTGTAGCAAGTCTAGATGATGTGAGACAACTTAAAAATACAAACTCTGCTCCTCATCCCCATTACACTGGTTCTTTAATGCTTTGTACCCAATCATTCAGTAACTCAATTTAGTTTAACAGCACAACAGAGTAAATCAAAGGAGAAGTGAAGCCAAGAATATGTACCTCATTTTACAATTTTTTTCAGCAATTATTTTGCTGCCTATAAAACAGCATGTGTAGTGGGGTATGGCTGTCTGGAGAGCAAATAGAGACATAGAGGAATGTTTTCCTCTCAAAATACTCGACTCAATTTAGTATGTACTGCATTAAAACTATTATTATTAAGAGGTTATTTAAGAACATCAGTAAATGTAAAGTATATTTTCTACCCACCTTTGTTTTCAGTAAGTAAAAGAGGTGCTTGCATTGTCTATGGCTGCATTCCTTCATATCTTATCTAAACCTTGAACAAAGACATGCTGACAATTTTTGACGTGTAACGAAAAGGTATTTTAATGGACATGTTGTCGCCATCCCTGTCAGTCACACTAATGCCATCCCTGTCTGCTTTCAGTGCAAAGAGGGAGCGTGCACCCTGTCAGCCATGACCTCTGGAATCCGTCGCAACTGGATTCAGGCCATTATGAAGAATGTGCGACCCACTATTGCCCCCGACGTCACCCGGTAAGCCCCAAAGAGGATTAACACTTCAACCTCTGGCAGATAACAACAGCTCCTTTTCTCACTTATTTTATTTTAATCCATCTGTCCTCCTCACCCTCTCTTCCCTTCTTTCTCTTCCTCCCTCAACGGGTATTTTCAACCTGCTGCCAGGAAAAACATCTCTCTGAAACTATCCGTTCTGAAGCCCAGGTTGGAGTGCTTATGTGTTGAATATCTCTCCCTTCCTCACACAGTGATGTAATTGCTCAGCAATGTCCAACGTGTTTGTCGTCCTACTCTATGTCATGTGATTATGTCTCCATGCCAGTTGTGCCACTGTAGTGACACATGCTGCAATCACATCAACATACGAGAATAATCCACCGGCCCGGCCACGATCAGCAGCATAGACTGATTGTGATCAATGCTGTAATGTGACTGTTCACTCAGTAACTTTTGGAAATGTTCACAAAACAACAGAAGAGTCGTAACTGAAATGGAGAAGAAGAAGAGCTTGCGTAGATTAAGAGAGGAGCTGGGATATGATCATTTATTTTTTGTCGAATTGCTCCAGAACAACAGTTCAGCTAAGGATTATTTTAACTACCCAATCATTTATTTCAGTGTTTTTAAGAGGAGTATTACCTTTCAGAATGCTCATCACATATAATATAGACACGCTCTAACCTGCATTTACTGAGTCACATGTTTTTTTCTGCCAGTGTCTCTGAGGCAGCTCTCACCCAGGGGAGAATGTGTGATATTTTTGGTATTTCTGCACAGACATCTCACAGACATCTCTTTCCCATTCTTGATCTCCTGTCCCTTCTCATTTTCCCCTTACTCCCACTTCCTGACACCTCCACGCAACAAGGTAAAAATAGATCCTTCCGTCAGGTCACTTTTTAAAAAAAAATTCTCTGCCCCTCTACATTAAAAGTGCCAATCATCACGCTGTTTATTGCAAACACATTCTTCACATTTAGCCGTTATATAAATGGTAATAACGTAGTAGCTTAAGGCTGGTGTCTGCCATCAGGCTTACAACGGATCATGTGTGAACACCAAAGCTGCTTTCAGCCCAGTGCAATGTGTGCCTTATAAATGTTCCGATGCTAATGCTTTGACTTTGATGCATTCAATGATTGTTTGTTTGTTAACCAGGGTCTCTGCAGGTCTAGAAAGAGTTGTTAAAAAATACATAATAAAAAAAAAAAGCCTGAGGAGGTATTCATTTAATTTGCCAAAATATTTTCTCTTGCTTGCTGTAGGCAGTAGTGTTCGTCATAAACAGTTTTTGTTCTGTTGGGAGACATTACACACTAACATACTGTGAGTGGAGTTTGATTCAGCATCATCACACCTGTAGCAAACACTGCCACTACTGCTACTAATAATCACTAAAAGGCTCATCATCTCACAATAAGAATTTGTCAACTTAGAATTGATTTAAATCTTTGAATCATTTTCCAATTAATGCATCAATCCATGTTATACTGCTTATCCAGATCTGCTTTTTCCTTAGAATAGATATATGCAGCATGGAAATACAATTCTAATATCATAATAAATAATTCTAGGAAATTGTAGTCCCTGTTAGTTCTCCATCATATTTTCTTACCTTTCTGGGTATGATTGTAAATTTTATTCCATGTGGTATAAATGGTTTCTTTATAAGTCTTGGTGAAACCTGCAGAAACCCTGTTAAATGCACTGTCAACTGCTGGAATTATCTGCATTCTTGTTTTGTCCAACAAAGATTTGTGTAATAGTATTATAGCTTGAGTTGAGTTGCAACTATAAAAACTATATTATGTTGAAGCCTGCCTGTATATCTTTTTTATTTGCTGCATTTTTGTTCATTCAGATCCCTCCCCGATGAGAAGATTAAAGCCCAAGTGATGTTGGAGCCATGTCCGCAGGCCACCCCTGAGCCAAGCCCCGTTCGTGAGGCACCCAGGTCTGATATCCACAGACAGCCAGCTGGCAACAACGCCTCTATCCCTCCCTCTGAGCTGCGGAAAAGCCGAGTTCGTGAACGCAGACCAGAGGGCCGCTCTAAGACTTATGACTGGTCTGAGTTCAAGATGGAGGAGACAGAAAAGCCTGTGAAGGAACGAGCTGACACTGTCGATCTCAGCTCATCGTTCTCCACAACATCCTCTTATTGCTCTCCCTCCTCTTCACCTTCCTCATTAGCGTCCTCTCCTGTCTCTACCTCCTCCCTCCAAACCTCCTCGGTATCAGGTGCTCACCCACCCTCTGTAACAGAAGAAGCAGAGAAGGGGAATGTCAGGAGGGGCACCCCTCCACACAGCACTACTAGTGCAACCCACATGCCAAATACTGTTACTGTTACCATGACTTCCACACTTAATACAATGCCAACAGCACAGCCATCAACACCTGTAAGCCAAGAGCAAGGGAAAATGGAAGTGGACCATCCTACAGCCATGCATTCTGCTAGTGAGGATAAGAAGGACAACAGTACCTCAGGTGTCCATAAAGAGATAGAGCAGCGATGGCATCAGGTGGAGACAACACCTTTGAGAGAAGAGAAGCAAGTGCCCATCACCACAGCTGTAGCAAACTCTGCTAACTCTGAGAGGTTGCCGGCCCATGAACTTGCTGCACTGCTAGACAAAGAGGTTTGTTTACTGACTGTGGTCATTTACATTTTTTCATCAGACCATCTTGTGCTGTTTATTCATATATTATCTGTCTGTCTTTGTTCAGTTGGGACAGAAGCAGAAGGAGCTGGACCAACTACAGAAGCAGAACAATATTTTAAAAGAGCAGCTGGAGGATGCGCTAGGGAGAGAACACAGTGCCAGAGAGGGCTATGTACTGCAGGTACTACACTCACCATCCATCACACAGGATTAGATTTAAAAACTTTTACCATGTGCAAATAGCATAGCAACACGTATCGACAAAGAAATCTCAACAATAAAAATGTACAGGATGTAATTGCAAGGTTTGTAAGGTCCTATACATGTGCTGGTAAAACGTGTGGTGCAGTAATATTATCAACTGTGCCACAGTACTTGATAGATTGTAATTTAGTTTTGGCTCATGACAGATTGGTGTGTATTTACTGTTACTTATAGCATTCAACTAACAGGTGTGGGTGCTTTCTGAAACTGAAACTGTTAACGCATGGTTGTGGTTTTCTTGGCATGAGTTTTTCGCTAACTGTTTTTACGGAGTTTCACATCTACTGGGAAAACAAGTGATTTGATCTGATATGCTTAAGGTAAGAAAAGTAATCAATAGGCCTTGCGCTGTGCTTTTTCTCTCTGTTCATCTGTGCTTTGTTTGTTTCCTTTCCTAGCTTGACATCTGCATGCTGTTTGGTGTTTCAGAATTGCATACATTTACTAATTTCTTTTTTTTATGTTGTGCAGATATTTGTTATTTTCCGTGTTAGTCTCCCATTGAAGGTTTTTATTTGTTTGTTTGTTTATTTCTTTGGGAAGGTGTTTTCATGTAATCCCATGTAAAACCCTGTTTGCAAGTCACCTCTGAAAAAGCACAGTGGAAGCCTGGAGAAAAGCACTGATCAAAAGAGGTGCTTATTAAGAAAGGAGAAAAACAAAACATTTCCCTGGTAACATCTGAGATGTGGCTCTCCGTATATGGTAGGGGAAATAAGGTGATGTCATTAATGAAATGTCTCATCAATCTTTTTCAAGAGTGCAACATCCCCTTCCTCTTCACCGCACAGAGTGCCATGGCAACGTTTGCACAAGCTTAATCAAGATTTGCAGGGTGAATTGGAAGCCCAAAAGCGCAAACAGGACCTTGCTCAGCAACAGATTAGGACATTAAAGAGAAGCTACACTGAAGCTCAGGACGCTGTAGACCGCCATGAGACTGATATTCAAGCTCTGCAGGGTAAACTAGCATGTGCAATGGCTGAAATCTTGGCCAGTGAACAGGCTGTGGCCCGAATGCGCAATGAGCTCAAGTTGGAGCAGGAGCGTTCAAAGGAACAAGAAGTAGAATATGGAAAAAGTGAGGCCACCCTACGTGCCCAGCTGAAAGACAGTGAGGACAGACTCCGTGAAGTAGAGGCCTGCCTCTTAGAGAGGAACCAGGCCCTCAGACACCTCGAGCACCAGCAGGCCCTGCAACGAGACCACATTCGAGAGGTACAGAGGTTGCAGGAGAGGCTGCAAGAGGTGACTGCTCGACTAAGTGCTACTGAGGAGGGCCAAGCTTTGAAGGAGGAGCGCCTGAGGAAGGAGCAGCATAGCATGCAAGAGAGTCATGAGAGGGAAAGACAGAATCTGTGCAGAAAATTAACTCAGGCTGAAATGGCCCAGAAAGAGTTGGAGGACAATCTGCTTGAGGCTGAGCAGCAGGTAGAGGCTCTGTTGAGAGGGAGGCGATCCTCCGCAGGCAAAGAATGCAGTGAGGAAATGTTAAAGTTACAAGAAGAACTGACTCATAAGATTGACATGGTTGACTCATTGAGGGAGAGTGTGCGGAGGCTAGAAGAAGAGAAGGGCCACCTAACTTGCCGTTGTCAGGAGCTTATCAACCAGATTGCAGAAGCTGACCGTGAGGTGAACAAGCTCCGCAAATGTCTGGAAACTGAAGAGTCAGAGTACTACACACTGGAGCACTCATATGATAGGGCTACCCAGGAGTTTCAGAAAATGAGTCAGTTCCTTAGAGAAAAAGAGGAAGAGATCCGGCAAACTAAGGAGATGTATGAAAGGCTAGTGGAACGCAAGGAAGAGGACCTAAAAGAGGCACTTGTTAAAATGACAGTACTTGGCAGCAGCTTGGAGGAAACGGAACAGAAGTTGCAAGCAAAGGAGGAGCTTCTCTGTCAAATGAGTCTGAGCCTCTTAGAAAAGGTTGAGCCCTGTAGTGCTGAAAAGGATCTGCAAGCCAAGCTTGTGGTTGCAGAGGACCGTATTGCAGAGCTTGAACAGCATCTCAATGCCCTGCAGTTGGGCTACGCTGACCTACAAATGGAAAGACAACAAATCCCAGCACAGAGCAAAAAGGGAAGAGTTAAAACATCAGCCTCCATATCACCAAACACAGAACTTTTTCATTCCTTTAACAATACATCCAAGTCAGAGAACGCCCCAGATGATCAGGAGTCTCTAGCCAAGAGATCAAGGATACGTTTTTCCAGTATTCAGTGCCAAAAATACATAAGCTTAGAGGGCCTGGTCACTGGCCAAGCAAGTAGTGGTCATGTGGGCAGTACTTTAGTGGAGGCAGGACAAAAAGATGACCAAGATGTAAATGAAGACATCGGTTTAACTGGAGGAAATATCTGCTCTGATATGCCACATACTAGTGACCCAGAGAAGTTTATCTCCATCATACATGCCCTCGAAACTAAACTGCTTGCCACTGAGGATAAGCTAAGAAACCTCACACAGAATCTAGAAGAGCAGCAATCCACCCAAGCAGACGAGATGTCCCAGATTGATCAACAGATGACAGAAACGGACCATCACCCAGAGAAAGAGTTGAGTTGTGGGATAAAGAGTAGTTGTCTTGCCAATAAGCATTATGCCAAGGCCCTGCTGTGCGTGGAAAACAGTCGAGAGAAAGTCAGGTCTATTCTCAGTGGTTCTTATAATACAACTGGTTCACAGCTGCATTCATTGTCAGAGATAGAGAGCGATTTGTTCAATGCATCACTGTACATCCAACAAGGACAAAAGACGTTGGAAGAACAAACACCAGCTGTCCATCAGAATCAAACCCCAGAGACTCGAGATAGAGAAGCTCTGCAGCTCTTTGCCAAAACCTTGTCTTTTGAGGCTGTAGTTTTGAATAAAATGGCTTTATTGATACAAACGTCGAAGTCTGACATTCTACATGCTCTTGCAGAGATATGGGAAGACATCGACAACATTAAAAAGAGTGACAAAGATTGCTTGGCAATAGTTTATGCTGATGTCTTGACCAGGAAGCTGATGTTAGAGAGTGCGTTCTGGAAAGAATTGGACAAAACTGAGGAAGATGTTGCAAAATGCAAAGAGGGCAGTGTGTCAGCTAGTGTAGATGATCCCACAGTCTTTAACACCTTCATTAAAGCAGAACTAGCCTACTCTATTCAAAACCTTAAGCTTTGCTATGAAGACAAATTCAAAATACTGAAAAGGGAGTTGACTGAAGCGCATACTAACCTAAATCAAAGGGAAATGGCTCTGAAAGCAATTATCGAAGCTTCCAAAAGGCCGGATTTGAAAAATGTAATAAAGGAGGTCAAAAAAAACTTTGGCTTTAATAAACAAAAGTTAGCTGATGTTCAACCCCCTGAACTTGCTCCTTACATGGAGCAGATTGAAATGGAAGCAGCGCGAGACTTGGCTGAGAAAATTGTAGACAGACACTTGGCTGAAGAAATGCCCTCTTGTGGTGTTGACTCTATTGATATGCTGCAAAATGCACATGACAATCTGGCCAATGAGCTTCAGCGACAAGCAGCAATTCTCCATAAGTATGCTCAAGAGATAGAAGATGGTGAAAACCATCCAGGGCTGGCTAAAATGATCTGGGCTCTTTTTGGGCACCAAACTTCACAGAATTTCTCTAGTACCTCTCTTTGTATGCGTGAAGCCCTTATTCAGGCTCAGGTGGCTTATGTGGCATGTAGGCTACGGGCAATGCATGAACAAGACTTGGGTTGGTGCAAACAGACAGGTCAGAACATGGATGCTCTTGTCCAGCAGCATGCCCACAATGTCACTGCAATCCAGGAAAAATTTGAAGCATCCTTACAGGAGGAGCGCTTGAGTTTCACGCAGACAGTGGCCACTCTAGAAATGGAGAACCAAAGCCTGAGGAGTGAGATAAGCAAACGTGTGAATCAGCTCTCCCAGCAGCAGGAGCAACTGGCCCTCCTGGAGGAACACTACCGGCAGGACACTGAACAGCTGAATCAGATGCACAAGAAAGAGCTACAGCAAGCAGAGCAAGGCCATGCTTCTACAGAGCTGGCCCTCATTGAGACATTGGCCGACAGCCAACGAAAGTTAGAGGTTCTGCTAGTGGACATGGACACCATGAAGGAGCAGCACCAGGATCATGTGAAGAAACTGGAGGAGCAGTTTGAACAGAGGATCTGTGAGCTCCAGCACATCCACACAGAGGAGATTGAAAAGTTACATTCCCAGTATGTGGAAAATATTCAGTGTGTCAAAGAGCACCTGAAGGTCAAAAAAGGTTCTGAGGTTTCGCACTCGCTACCGTGTGATGAGGCCATAATACCAATGGAAGAGGAGGAGCAGGGGAAGGGGGAAGATGCTCAAAATATGTCTGAGGTGGACTCAATGGTGGTTCTCAAGGACCGGATCCAGGAGCTGGAGACTCAGATGAACACCATGAGGGACGAACTGGAGAACAAGCACCTCGAAGGAGATGTGGCCAGCCTGAGAGAGAAATACCAGAGAGACTTTGAAAGTCTTAAGGTTTTTGCTCTTTCAATATTTCGTAAAATGTTTTGTGTGTATAAGTGATAGACTAGTAGATGAATAGAGGATGAATTAAATAACCTGTTGCTTTTGTTCGTCAATCAACTAATATTCAATAATCATTTGGAATTGGGAAATGGTGTGATTTCAGAATAACCGCAAATCTAAATCAATATCTATTCAAACTCTAAAATAATTGTAATCAGAGCTCTTAGGGATGTCCTTCCTACTTTTTGCTTTGTCTTTCCTGCAAAATAAATCTTTAACCTTTTAGCCAGTGTGGTTCTAGGAATGCCTTTTTTCAGTTCACCTTTTTGTTCCAGAATCACGCTATGAGCCTTCATATAGGTTTGTTTGACTATAAATGCATATATGAAAACCTTTATTTCACTGAAGAATGTAGAACAGATGTGCATTTGTTTGTATTTTACTAGAATAATATTTCATATATTGTATTAATTCAAATTCTATGTATTTGGTTGTATTTGTATTCATCTGATTTATAGTTATTTATAATTAAATTAATGGTTAAGCGGTTAAAAAAAAAACATACCTCAATTATACTTCTTTTTTATTAATTTCTTTTTAATATGAGGGCTAAATATCAGCAACTTAATTTATTTTTTAATATATATATATATATATATATATTGGCCATTTTATCGATATTGGAAAAAATCTATATATTGGTTGGGCTCTAAAGATAAAACTCTATATTTGGAACGTAAAGCCTGTGTCACAGTTTGAAGACTTCATGTCATATATCGTATAATGTCTTTTTTTTCCCCGTTGTGGGATGAATAAAGTATATCTAATCTAATCTAATCTAATCTAATCTAAAGATAGTCTTTGAATATTATAAGTTTAGAGGTTAGCGTCAATGTGAATCTGTTTAGACCTGTGAATTATTATGGGACATCCTTAGAAGTTTTACTAAGTTTTTATTATGAATAAAGGCAATCAATTACAGGTTTGTCAGACAATTAAATATCCAAAATGTCTAATTTACTTCTTGCATTGCCTCTTTATTCTGGCATTATTGACATACCATTTCCCATATTCAAAACAAGAGGGAAGTCTGGTCTATTACCAACAGAATGATTGGATGGAATTAGAATTTAACCACCTTAACTCACTATTTTTAACATAGCTGGGGTTCAAATCTGAACAAAGCTTGCATGGCTTCTGTCACTGATTTTGCATGACACACCATGTAGTGAGCTAGCACAGTAATAGATGTTGCACTGAATCTATAGTCACAAAATAAAATGCAGGTGGTTTATTGTGTGCACATTTAATTATGTGATGAAAGAATCTGGACCCTCTGGTTTTGTAGGCCACGTGTGAACGTGGGTTTGCTGCAATGGAAGACACCCACCACAAGGTGATAGAAGACCTCCAGAGGCAGCACCAGAGGGAGATCTCCAAACTCATGGAAGAGCGGGAGAGACTCTTGGCTGAGGAAACTGCTGCGACAATTGCTGGTAAAGAAATTAATTCTGCTACCACTCATGATTTCTGTGGTTGAATCAATACTGGCATACTCGAACTGAATGTGGATGATTGATCTCTACTGCAGCTATTGAAGCTATGAAAAATGCACACAAGGAGGAACTGGAGAAGACCCAGCGCTCCCAACTGAGTGGACTGAACTCTGACATTGATGAGCTCCGCTTACAATACCAGTATGTTGTTTTGACAATTTGACATTTATTATTAAAATTTAAATGAGTAGCATAGTGGGAAAAGAGCATACATGTTCTATGAATACAAAATATAAAAGATGTAGGCATTTAGAGGTAAACGAATCCTAACACTGAGAGAATGTCATTAATGGTATTAATGGTTTAGGAGGTGAACAATCAGACAAACCCTTCAGCCTTTAATGTCTGTGTTGCTGTAAGAAAAACTGTAAAAAACTTCATCTTAAGTCTTAATTTTAAAATGGCTTTTGGGAATATCCTTTACATTATGAAATGACCCATCTCCTTTTGTCCTGAGAAAAACTATAAACACAGTTGGTAAATATCAGAACTCCAGCTGATCTTCTGATGCTGTGATTGTCCAGGGAGGAGCTGCAGTCCATCCAGAGAGAGCTGGAGGTGTTGTCCGAGCAGTACTCTCAGAAGTGTCTGGAGAATGCTCACCTGGCCCAGGCGCTGGAGGCCGAGAGGCAGGCCCTCAGGCAGTGTCAGAGAGAGAACCAGGAGCTAAATGCTCACAACCAGGTTCGGATACACATACATGCAAATACACAAATGAAAACCATCACTGTCCATAGCGATGCAGAGTAACTTTTGTCTGTGTGGCAGGAGTTGAATAATCGCCTGAGTGCAGAGATCATCCGGATGCGCTCCTGTTTCAGTGGTGAAATGGCACTGTCCCCGCTTACCCAAGGCAAAGATGTATATGAACTAGAGGTATGTGCACGCACACAAACCAATAATATGGACTTGCTCTTTAATCTCTAATCTCTTTAATCTAAGTGAGTGTCTTTCTCCATCTTGTAGGTGTTGCTTCGTATAAAGGAGTCAGAGATCCAGTACCTTAAACAGGAAATCCACTCTTTGAAAGATGAACTGCAGTCTGCTCTAAGGGTAAGAAAAACAAATGTAAACTATTTTACCCTTAGCTGTTTGTCTTTTAACCAAACTGTATCTAAGTTGACTTTAATTTCACCAGGACAAGAAATATGCCACAGACAAATATAAGGACATCTATACAGAGCTCAGCATAGTGAAAGCAAAGGCTGACTGTGACATCAGCAAACTGAAGGAGAAACTGCTCATTGCCACTGAAGCTTTAGGCGAGAGGACCGTCGATGGATCGGTCACATCTGGATACGGTACAGAGAGTAAATTAATTTTTTTATTATTATTATTAAACACTGGTTAAATTAGAATAACTCTTTTTATTTATCATGCCAAAGTTTATTTTCGTCCGATATTAGAGCATTTATGAGTGATGTCATGACAACGAGTTCATTTTTGTTCATTTACTGACAAAGGGAATGACCTGTGTTGTTGGAAATTACACTTACTATACGATAAAGCTTAAATGATGATAATGACATTATGTTGTTGTTTTTTAGATATCATGAAATCAAAGAGTAATCCAGATTTCATAAAAAAAGAAAAATCAACAACCTCCAGGCAACTGAGAGGCATAAGGTCAAAGGTGAGTGTCAGATTTCCTGAAATTAGTTTTATTATTTTTTGCTGGTTTATGGCACATTACTTCAAATTCAAACCCACACACTCTAAAAGCTGCCATGTCAGTTCTCTGTGTGTGCGACATTGTGTATCCAGGTTGGGTTGTGCAGATTTTTTACACATGCAGTAGAAATGTGTTCTACAATTGTTGATCAGGACGCTTTCAGTGAAAAGTCCCATTAGTTTGTCATCTGTGTGTTCTGTCAGTCTGTCACTGAACAGGTCTCATGGGATAGCTGACACTCCCATTGTGGGGTGATTCCCCCCCACCCCCCACCCCAAGACGTGCTGTAGGTATAGCATGATGTAGAGCAAAGCATGCCCTAACCCCCCTCGCATGATCTCCCCTATCCCCCCCCAACTGTGTCCCAGCCTGCACCACCAAAGCTGAATGTAGTGCCCACCCCTCAGTTGAATATTACCAACAGTTCTTAGTGTGTCAGGTAAATCACCTGCATGGTTTAATTTCACCTCTGTACAGTATTTCCAATTGGTTGGAAAATAAACTTTGTGCGGGTTTCAGAGGAATACGTCATCTCCTGATGACTCTTGTTTGTCTGCTTGTGAGTCTTTGAATCAGTGTTTGAACTTGTGTTGCGCTCTTACGTGGCATGAGTGTATTCCTTCATAACCACCTGTGTGTCTTACTGTTCGACCTAAAGTTTGTCATCCAGAGCAGAGAAGTCTTTAGGCTCGACAGCTTCTTAAAACACAAGTGTTGTCTGAGTGTGTTTTTGTGTTTTTTAATACTTTTCTTTTGCCCACATGGTCACGTGTCCTCACCATCTGTTAAAGATAATTCACTCTCCTCTCCATACCCTCCACAGAGCCTGAAAGAGGGACTCAGTGTGCAGGAGCGCATGAAGCTTTTTGAGGCAAAAGATTCCAAAAAGATTTGAACATCAAGAATCTGAAGTTTCTGTTCTCTTCCCTTGTCTTGGTTTCTGGTCCTCATAAAGAGCAGCATCAGCTGAAGACTCTCATAGGAAATAGAAACAGTTCTTCACAAAGGTCGATTCTGAACATGGACCTGCTGCTTCCATGCCTCTGATAAGTTGTCATTAGTTTGATTGATCTTTTTTTTTTATT